AGAAGCACTCAATTAAACTATTTCTTAGTAGAACTACCAAAACACTTCAGAAACAAGTGGCTCACAAATAATTTTTAAACTTAGGAGTTGACTGCATTAAACATGGACAAACCTAAAAGATAGTTTTATTACTTTTATGGTGGTTAAAATTAACTGAAACATCATCACATTTTCAGTGCAAACAGCATTTTAATTACAACCTGTAATGCTTGCTAAACTATCTACGGGAGAGGTTGAAAAGTCCTAGGCAAATGCACTTTGGGTTGTACTACGGTGTTCCTTCAATCCGCCCGAAGATTAAGTAACATACAATCAATTTGTGAATGCTGAGACAGTGTTACATGTTTTCTGCACAACTGAATGGTTAAGACATAACCAAAATCCACTTTTCACCTATTTTCAACAAACCTGACTAACTGGCACTTTTGCAGAGAGATGTTTATCAAAGATGCTGTAAGATTTTACAATTAGGTAATACTCAGCTTAAAAGATATTTCCCTATCATTGTTTTTTGTACACAGGTGTTTTGCTAAGATAACTTATTGTAATTTCCTAGAAATGCAGTCCCAAACGCGAGTATTGTTTACAAACCCAAAACCCACACATCCCCTGCAAAACTCCTCACCTGTTAACAGTATAAATCTTACAGCATTTTGTTTGCAATAGTACATGCCAAAATCACAAAAAGCAATAGTATACACCACAAAGTATTGAGCATAAATGATTTGATTCTTTTTAGTGCTTTTATTCTACATAAATTACTACCATAGGCTAATGTTTAAAAAGCCAATAAATTGGACAGATGCAGGACAAAATCTGTTCATCCATCAGATTTCCTTAAAATTACAATAAATGCAAAGTGTTTGATACATGCAATAGCCTTAAATGAAAAAGCCTTGATTCCCCACTGGTCAGAAAGGAAAAAAGGGGGGGGAGCCCCATACATCTTACTGTACTCCACCTTAAAATGCATCATATTGGAATCGCTTACAACAGCATAGAATTCCAAGAGTCAAAATGGAATAATAAAGCAGGTATTTTAAAGATTTAAGAGCCGTTATCAAAAACAAATTACGTTTTTTCCAAGTTACAGGTATGCTGCTATGAAGGCTGCGAACCGAGTAACCTTTCAATGGCTGCATTGATATCACCTCCTGTTGCTATGAGGGCTTGCAAGTTTGCTTCACGGTTCAAAAATCCCATTGCACTGAGCTGTTCCAGTTGTTGTTGAAATCTTACTTCTGGATTCTGCAGCTGAGGATTTACTCCTGCAAGTGCCTGAAGCATTTG